CCCCCCCCCCCCCCCCCCAAAAAAAAAGATTGTGTCAAGTTATGAATTGCACCTACTGAACATGACTTTTGTGATAAGATTTGGAAGATGCTTCTTAAAGAATTTCAGCTGTGTATAAAGATTTCAAATTCAAAATGTCAAATATCACTCAATAGGATTTCTACCATTCTGCATTGTATGATTTTATTTGTCTTTATTACTAGCCACCGATTGAACTACTACTTCCAAAAAATGGAAGAGCAAATTGATGTTTGGTTTTTGAGAACATTTACCTTTTGAAAAATGACAGTGATTACAATCTAGGTTCTTTCTCACTCAATTCTATCTCAAGACCTTTAATTAGACTTTTTTTTTTTTGTGGAAAAGCTTTGACTCTTGCTATTTTGGAGGTTGTTTTAAGGTTGTTTTTTTTTGTTTTGTTTTTTAAATCATTCCCCTTCCTCACCACTACCCATTGTGATTTCAGTGCATTACATTCTAAGGTCCTTTTTTATTGTCTGTGGGGTATATGTAGTACAGGAGAAAATAGGCATTGAAAGTGAATGAGATGTTTGGTCTGCCTTCTACCCTCAGCTGGCATGTGATGAAGCACTAACCAGTTGCAGCATGCTTTTCAACGTAAACTTCTAGTATGCAAACAGTAGGATTAGATTTTTTTATTTTCAGGTTTTTTGCAGGCATGCACAAACCTATGACTGTTTCTCTGCTGGCAGACAGCCACAAGAAGTCTGTACTACAAAGTGAGCACCTGAATCTTACCCACTATTTCCTTCTTTCAGACTTGTCTGCTTCCCTCTATCTCTGAGCATTTTATCAAGGTCAAGTGACATGTTAATTGTTTTTAATTGCAGTTGCTGTCATACTGAAAGTGACATTAGGGTTTCCTCTTAAGTCCTTTCCACTTGTCCCCCGCTATGCCTTTCTGCTCCTGCCTGTTGTTGGATCTGACGCTTGTGTAACTGTTAGGTCGCTGGGTGGGTGGATTGACTTACCCTGTGTCCGTATGGCTGTTGAATTGGATGTAAGCAAGGGGCAAGGGTGGAGGATGGGGAAGACTGCCTGCCTGAGAACCTGCTGCTTGGCTGGTGGGATGGGTTGACCCCTGCCAGCAGCCAAGCACAGGTGTCCTGAACTGGCACCAGCACATTTCTGTGGGGCAATGTCTTCCTCTCAGCCAGGAGGGGCAGAAGGGTGGCATGTCTTAGGTATTACTTCAAGAGTCGCTTGTGAACACTGGCAGTATTTTCTACTAGTAATCTGGTTAGCTGTTTCTGGTGGGCAAATAAGGGCAGGGAGCAAGCTATAAGGGAGTGAATGCTGTAAAGGAAAACTGTGGTGCAGAGTTGGTTGTGGAAGAGTTTTCAGGGAACTGACTCTGATCCTCACATGTTTCTAGAGGAAGGTGGTGTGCCCCTGATGCTTCCTTTGTGCTGACACTGGTCCTCCTCTGACTCCATGGTCAGTGGGCTTATGCTGCTCATCCACGGGCAGCTCAGCTCTGCTGGAAGCCCGCTGAAGCCTGAGGAGGAAGGAGACCTTATTCCTTCTCTTCTCCCATGACCTTGGCAGCACATTCACAGCCACCTTCTGGAACATGCTCTGGTGCTTCTTGCAGCCTTCCCTAAGGTGCTCTGACTCTATTTTGGTAGAAGACAACCTGAAGTGGGAGGAAAAAGCCAGATTTAAGTTTCTGTTGAGTGAGTTGAAGCAGGATTGTATGGCCATTGGTACTGGCGCGATGTCTTGTTTGGCTGGTGTTGATGGCAGCACAGAGGAGAAGGAACATTGGGGGATCTTTGCTGCTAGTGAAGCTGCATGGTCACCTTGCCACATCCTTTCAAACTGTGTACTTGCTAAGTTAGACTGACAAAATGCTAACATTACAAATGGGGTAATAGTTACATGGTGGTTTAAGTATCTCTACTAGGTCACTGTGGGATCAGACAAGTGTCAGCACCACTGGGAAGCACAGCACATGCCAGAAAAAGAGGGGGTGCCTCTGAGCAGTAGCTTATAGTTAAACTGGTTCAGCTATGTTATAAAATTCCACTCGAGGGAGAAAACGATTGAAAAGAAGATCAAGGTGTTTAGTTCTTGGTTTAAGAGTAATTCTGTCCATTCGCTAGAAGGTCTGTGGCCACAGGTGATGTTGGTTTTTGTTTGTTCTGTTTTGTGGATTTCAAATCTGTCTGAAGTCTCAGAGGTCCCTGAAAAGGAGTAATACTGTAGTAGGCCTCTTAATGCATGGTAGTATGCCTGTGTGCTTAAATCTCGGTAGAGCAGTATGAGAAATAAGTACTCGATAATAGTGTGTTATTCAGGCTTGGTCGTGTCATTGCAGAGAGTCCTCTCGTGCTTCTCTCTGCCTCCATGCCCGAGTGTCTTGTTTTGCTTCCCAGTGGGGTGGGCCACAGCTATGACACAGGCTGCTCGTGCAGACCCCTTCCCTCCCACCTTCACAGGCAGGCAAAGACTTGCACTGTAGCTCCTAAGCCAAATGCTGTCTTGAATTCATGACTCTGATATCTATAAATAAAATCTTATTCCATCTATGAATATATAATTATGCATATATTATTCTTATGTATAAAAGTACCATCTCTATATAAAAAGTGTTCTTGGTTACTTAATTGTAAAATGGTCAGATGACTGTATGAAGAGTTACTGCTGTGAGATACTGAAGCTTATTTGGTAGGTATCTATGCCTTCTTATGTGGAATTGTCTTTATACCATTACATTAATGTGGTAGGATTTTAAATGGGCTAACATTAGTCTTTGTGAAGCAATGGTGCTGTTAACCCTTTCATAAATTTAGGGATTGCCTCTAATAGTTTTTGAACTCCTTCAGTCTTTGTTTCAGTTGTATTTAATGCTCTGACCAGTGTGGTGTATCTGTAGCAAACTTCTTTTTTTCCTCTGTACCTACTTTTGGAGATGTTTTAACACAAGATACATATAAAAAGTGAGGAAGATAGGGGAGCTCATCCTTTTTACCTTTCTGTTGCTAAAAGAAGCAGGATAACCTTACATTTTACTTCTCCTGTTCAAGCAGAGATCTCCTGTCTGTTACTCTATACCAGACCAACACTCCACAAACACCTGTGTGCGATGGTTCAGCTCACTACTGTGAAAACAGAGGAAGACGAGAGTGTGTAAATTCAGAAGTAGGAGTGGGAAAACAGCCCCTTTCAGAAGTAATGATCTGCTGGCTTATCTCGATGGCCTGTGGAACCATAGCCTTCAAGGGGTGTCTTCCGTGCTTCCTGCATCTTGTTAGTGCTGTCTTGCAATATTTAAGTATCTGTTACAAACTTCTGACCAAGAATTACTTAACTCCCCCTAATAGGATAATTCTTTACGTAAAGTAGCTGCTGAGGGAAGGTTGAAATGAGTGAGGGAAGAGTGTTTACGTTTTTTTCAGCTGCTTTTAAAAGGCATATGTTACTATCCCAGCTGAGAGACCCAGCAGTCTGTCTGCTGTGGCAAGCTTTTTGTTTTTGCTAGAGTATTCTCCTGCCCTTAATGAGATGGGGGGAGGAAGTGTAGTCTTGGCCTTTAAAGAAACCAAAAGTTTTGTTGCTTAATTTGATACAGGTTAGCAAGAATTCATCATACAGTGTACTGGGCAATGATAACTCGGTAGCCTGGATTTGTCTTTGGAAACACTGTTTTCCTCTGCTGAGAGAAGAAATCTAGATTACAGTTGCTTCTGTGGGTTAATTATTACCGTAGGATAGGTGAACTATAGCTCCTGACACCATTATGCACCATATAGTTGAACTATAGCTCCTGACACCATTATGCATCATATAGTTGAACTATAGCTCCTGACACCATTATGCATCCTGCTGCTTTTTTCTTTCCCCACCTACATACACCAGCACCAGACTTCTTAGAAGGAATGTCACAGTTTCACTACCTAGGGATTGCAGGCTGATCTATTTAATATATGTAGGTGCAAAACTGCTTATAGATAACCTGGCTACTGGTCTTTCACACACAGGATCTGAAAGTGCCTTTAAATAGTGCTCTGCCAGCATCTCTTTCAGAGCTCAAAGTTTTTATACATTCCTTGGTGTAGTGTTTTTCTGCAGCTTACTGCATTAGGCAGAGGTAGAAAAAAATGCGTTAAGCAAGTACATCTGTATAGTTAGTTTTTCACTGCTTTGGGCTAATTTCAATGCAGATTAATATATAATATTCTATACATGATGCAATTGGAAAGGATTGCTTTCCTTTATCATTTTGAACTGTGTCATACATGCTCCATGGTAATGAAGATCACTGGGATCACAACACCTGAGAGAACTGAACCACCGTAAGCACAAGTTAGTGCTCGAAAATACCAACTTACTGCTTCACCTTAACTCTACTTTGGAGACTTTGGTGCATGTTCTGTGACACATAACTTCATTTAGAACATACCTGCATCAACAATGTTAATGTTGTTTAAATTTAGTCTATTATTTTGACTTCCATGTTAAATGTTAGCCTTAATTTGATTTATTGTAACTTGTTTTTTATAATGGTTGGTCTGTTTCTCTGGTGATGGTAGGTTTTCAGTTGTAACCTTTTAATTCTTCAGAATATGCCACATCACAAATAGTCCTTTTCACTGTAAAATGATCTCGTTTACTGTTAATTTGCCTCTTGCTCCATAAAGTGTAACAAAGCATTGCAATTACTGGCGTGGAAATTGCTTTACCTTAGTGTCACAATACCACAGTGCTTTCAGGATGGCAGGCTGCCACTTTTGCGCAGCATTATGAATAGAACATGAACTGGAGTCTTATTTTTAAGATAGCGTGTTAGAGACAGTCCTACCATACTGAGCTGTACTCTGTCAAAAGTCTTAGTGTATGGTGTTTCATAGCTGAATAGATCTTGGCAATGCTGTATGCCTCATTTGCATGTTTTAAAGGTTTCCCTCTCTTATACCGTGTGTAGGGTTTTCCTTATGTCATTCAATCACCTGCATAATCCTGTGTGTCAGCATGGTTTGTACTATGATACCTTGCAAGATTCTGCAGTTTTATCACTTGGTGCTTATTTTTTATCGCAGTCCTGCCTCAAGTCTGTCTTCATCCTTTCTCTCCTTACCTTTTTCCATTTACTCTGCCATTTCTCTTATTTCCTCTTCATTAAGGCTTTTGCCTCTGTACAAAGCTATGTGCATTGCTACAGTCTGTTCTAAATGGTGCATTGGTTTTGTTTTCTTTTGCTTGGTGGTTTTTTTATTATCTACCTTTTTCCCCTCCTGGTCAAAGTTGCATTCTTGACACTCTCCCTTCTTATTGGCACTAAAGCCCTTGTTTGCTGTTACATTTGTGAGAATTGGTAAGGAAATCTTTATCTGTGGTAGCTGTCTGAACTATTGTTTTTTTTATTTTGGTCTGACTGTCCCTTGGCTGTTAATTGCTCAGCAAGGCTATTTCAATTTACCTCTGCAGTGCCTAGGCTTGGACTCAATAACAGTACAAGGACATCATCTGCTTTGTCCTTCCGTCTTTTTAGTGAGCCCATCGTTTGCTCTCTGTAACAGCATTATGCTGCTCGTGTCCAGCTGCAAACCTGCCTGAAGGGAGCATGCGGGGGCGGGGGGGGGCGATGGGGTAACATGTGTAAGGATGTCACTGTCCCATTTCAGGGAAAAAAAACTCTAGAGAACTACCGGAGTCTCTTCTTAATGGAGCTCCTTCGTAGTTCAGTAACTTCACTCAGTCAGGCACATTCTTCAGGAGCCTGCTTCCTAGGAACTTGACTTTTTTTTTTTTTTAACCATTTAACCAGGATGAAGCAACCCTAGCCCCATTTTTTGTGTGTTTGAGGCAGCATCTTGTGAATTTTAAAGTGTGAAAGTCTTTAAGTTAAGAATTGATACCATTAGGTACATGCTGCAACAAAATATTCTTTCAATCTTACTACTATGCATGTTAGAGAACTACACTATGCAGTATATACACTAATTTGCAAATTTTAGGTTTCACCACATACTTTTTCTCCAGTTATTTAAATTATATATATAATTACTTGATGCACATTTGATTGTGTACTGGCTCATCAAGCTTTCAGAATTTAATTTTGCATTTATTCACACAGCAGTGTAGGATTAAACATTCATGTTAGTGAGTTGTGACATGATCGTCAATTTACTTTGTATATTCATTGCTGAAATACTAGTGACTGTTTGGAATTGTGTTCTCAGTTTATCTATGCTTCTGACCCAGCCTGATTTCCAGTTTCTAGGATTTTTATATTGCAGTTGATTGATCCTTATCCTTTTCTTACAAGTGTTTGTTAACAAGTTGATCAGTAGGATCAACTGTTTCCCCTGTGCTTTCAGTTTGCTTTAAGTTTTGCATAACTTAATGCAGGAAAAAGCACCTGACCCTTCTCTTTTTTTGCCTTGTTTACGGTAAATTGTTTTTTCCTGTTATGCTGTTATAATACTGTGACTTTTAATGCTATGGAGGAAGGCAGAAAAATCTTGTCTCCTGTGTAGTTTGAAAAAAGTGATACTCTTATTGTTGAAAAATGCATTAATCAGACATGTCTAATAAGTTGAGTAAGGTTGAATTTAACCTACATACAATACTAAGGTTTTTTTAGGCATTGTCTCTGACGTATCAACTGTCAGATGTAAAAATAGCTGTTGTTTCTACAACCAAAACTAATTTTTTTGCAGCAATTTTAACTTCAAGCTTTCTTAGTTCTGACTGTATTCTGAATGGAGTTCTCTAGCATATTTTCTTTATGTGGTGATGTATGTTATTTCCCCTTACAGACGCCTCCACCTCAATAAGAAAGCCACAGACAAGCAGCCATATAGCATGCTTCCTGGTGTTTCACTTCTTAAGCCATTAAAAGGTGTGGATCCTAACCTGATCAACAACTTAGAAACGTTCTTTGAACTGGATTATCCAAAAGTATGTATAACATTTAGTGTCTTTTTTTTCCTCCCATGCCTCCAAAAGTCATATCAGTAGCTTGGGCTAGAACTATGCAACTTGATTATGTCTTGGATTGTTCTTCCTTCCACAGGAAATGCATAATTACACATTTTACGTGTTGCAAACAAAAGTTACCGCTTTTTAAAAAGCAGTAGATGAACATGACCAAGGCTTAGGGACGAAACATACTCTGGACTTCACTAAGATTTATTTAATCATTATTCCAGTATTGTGGTGTTTATAGCAGTATGAAACCCTTCAGTCTGTAAAAGATTCTATAAAAAAATCATTTGAGAGGCCAGACATGCTCCCCAATTAGGTACTTCTCTGTAACAGATTCTCTAAAAGGGAATAAAAGAGAATCTAAAAGATTCTCTTAACTGATCGCCTGAAACTTTCAGGTGGTTCTTACTGATGGCTTATCTAAGGAAGAATTGCTCGATGAGGAGGTGGTGTACCTCACCAGTTGTTGCTGGGTAGGATAGTCTCCAAGCCACTTACCGGTGTTGGGAAACATAGTTAATAAAAGCTTGCATTTGCTCTCGAGCACTGTTTGACTTTGTAATATAAGTGATAAGTCATATAAGTGATAAGCACGTCAGATGCTGTCCTTGCTCTAAGGAGCTTATAACTTAAAGGAGAAATCTGCAAATGCTTGCTGCATTGTTCATGCTCCTGTGGATGGAAAAAGGACTACATTTTCTACTGCATATCTCGGGAGTTCTAAAACTTGTAATTTACTTTTAATAAAAACTCTTTTCTCAATTTTTCTCAAAACTGCTTCTGACACTGTGGCTTCAGCTGTAAAAGGTCAGAGGTATGTGTAAGCTGTATAGCGAGTTTCATTTGTGTATTCTGAGAGCTTTACACTTACTTCTAATTAGGCAGGGTAAAACAAACAAAAAAAACCCCACAATTTGAAACTTATTAAAAGTTGGATAGTTCTTCTGTAGTGAAGCTTGGGGCCTTTTGAAAAACTTCAGGCATGAACATTTGAATCCTTTCAATTCAACAGAAGTGCAATAAAGATTAAGTGTGGCCAAGATAAGTTTAAAGCATACTTGAGTGCAAAGAAGCTGCAACAATATGTTAAGCTATTTTATGACTATAATGAGCATCAAAGCATTATGCAGCTGAAACATTTGACTGCAAATAGAATTTGTTTGAGAATTCAGGAAAATAGTTATGCTGGATCTTGCTTTATGAGAGATAGTCTTGACCCTTCTTGTAACTTATACATATGGGTGGCAATCTTAAAATATTGCTACTCCACACAAATCTGAATTTCTGGTAACAATAGTGACAATCATATTTTTCCTAAAGAGAGTGAAAATGGGAGGTATGAATGCTTCTGTTTACTAGGGCACAGATTATAGAGTACAAGCAAGATCGATAAACTGTTTGAAAACACTTCTGTACAATAACTACAAAAATACCTCATTTAAGAGATTGACATTACACCGCAAAAATTAGAACAACAGTATTGCCTGGCATTCAAAATTCAGCTCTCCAGGGAAAAATTATTAGGAAAGAATAATCTTAAACTTGTTCCAGTGAAGCTGAGTTCAGCCTGCAGGGACACTGATTCTCTGAAACTCTCCTGTGATACCCCATATACGAAATAATCTTGTCTTGCATAGAAGCCAGTTATGCAGCTTCTAAATTGCAGGACATAAGTGTAATATTTTTATCAGTGAACAGTTCTTACCTACTGAGCATTGTAAATTTGACAGAAATCTTTCTATTCATGTTATGTCCAAATGAACCTGATTGTAATGTTTATGTAGATAAGTATCTTTGTATTTCTTCTGCTTTAGTCATACATTTTTTTTTGTTCTTTACTTTGTTACTGCATACAAAGGCCATTTACTGTGAATTTTTCTGTTTTCAAATACCACAATGTCAAAGTTTTTTATTATTTCTGGTTGGATTTCTTGGAGAATAGGGATATAGAAGTGTCATTGCAACTGTGGACTGAAGATTAATTATTTCATCACTAGTAAAAATGGTTGTTCTTTTACATGTTTAATTGGATGAGCAATAAAGAACTAATTTCTTCAGTTGGCAATTTCTATGGTGTTCATGCCGTCAGGATTGTTCTGTTGTGGTGGAAAGACCTGTCTGCTTAATGAGACAGGTCTTTTACCCTTTAAATTCCATTTTCTGTGCTGGTAAAATGATAGGAATCAAATACTACCCACTCTTTAGGCAAATTGGCTTTGAGTTTGCATTCTGAGAGGTAGAGATGTGTTTGTCTGACAGTTTGTAGTGCTACACCAAGTCTTACCAACTCTCATTTGGTTAATGATTTTAAGCTTCCACAATATTCTGAATGCAGTTAGAGTTGTTGGGTTTTTTTGTGTTTAACAATACCATTTTTTCTTGAAAGAATGTATTTATTTGACTTAATGTCTCCTGTAACATGAAATACTTCTTACTGAACAAGAACATCAGAGATTGTCATCATTGAGCCCAGAGGCAGCTTTCGAAGTTTGGATTATTTTTTGCTTAAGTAGTTTACTGAAAATAAAGTTCAGTGAGGTGATAGAATAGTATAAGGGAGAATGAGAACTGTTTTGATCACTAGTTGGGACTGTTATTTACAACGGCTATATCAAATGAGGTCCAAGAAAACTGTTCTTAATGAGACTGAATTTTTAAATCTTGGACTTGAAAAAATGGCTTCTAGGTATCTTGATCAGAAATTTGCATTTTCTGAATTTTCTTTGGATTGGAGCTCTGATAACTTGTTGTAATAATTCAGTAATCTTAACAGAGAGGAAGGTTACGTCAAGTAAGGAGTATTGAAGGAATTTGCTGTTAATGCAGAAACAGAAATACCTCCATCAAAGCTTGCAAAGCTGTCTCAAAACGTTGAGTGATCTTAAAACGCTGTTTCTTCCCCCACTGTCTGTAGCTCGTGTAACAAGCTTGTAGCTTGATTGCTGATACAGCTACAGTTTTCCCTTACCTCTTGTTGGTTTTTAACCACTATTCTATTAATAAGGAAAATACACATACATTACATATGCATATACATGTTCCTGAGCTTAGCTTTATTATACTATCAAGTATACATATAGTGTTCTCTGTGGGTTGTCTTCCAGCTCTGTTCTGCATATGCATCTACAAAATAGAGGAAAGGAAGGTGTAGTTCAGAGATATGTAGTCAAGCGTATCACAACATCATTCCTTCAATATTTTGTGTGCTGTAATTTCATTGAATATAAGATTGGATTTAAGATTGATATGTGAACAAAAATGGAAATGGAAATAAAAATTTTATCTTGTGTCCCAGAATGTCTTGCTTCATGCCTAAAAGAAACCCTTCTGATAACAGGAAAATTAATGTTCCTCAGTACAAGAGTTTATTGGGATAGAGGCTTGGTGGTTTTTTCCACAAGTACTTCGTAGTGCCCTAAAAATAGTCTTATTTAGCTGTAAAATAACCGCCTTGGTTTTATTTTAAATTCTATAGCAGTGCTCCTTATTTTTTCAGTTTGGTGCACTGTTGATCTTTATTCCCTAGACCATATTGATATTAAGTGTGTGTGTGTAAATTAATGTGAGTGTATACATTTTTGTTTTTACTAGTATGAAGTACTGCTCTGTGTGCAAGATCATGATGATCCAGCTATTGATGTGTGCAAAAAGCTCCTTGGCAAATACCCGAATGTTGATGCTAGACTGTTCATAGGTAAGCAGTGCAACTCAAAGGTGGGACTCTTGTAAAATGTTACTAGGTCTTCAACTCCATCCACAGTATTCTAAAATAAATAGTCGTCTTGTTCAGCCCGTGTTGGTTCTATAGCTTAATCATCTGTTTGGGGTAAAGAAGTAAGTTTGCAGTCACAATCTGTGACATCAGTCCAAAAAAAACTCTAGGAAGAATGATTTATGCAACCCCCACAACTTTTTACTTCTAAATCTGAAATACAGGAGTTTAAAGACATGGTTTAGCTGTGGACTTGGCAGTGCTAGGTTAATGGTTGAACTCGATGATCTTAAGGATCTTTTCCAACCTTAACGATTCTATGATTCTATGATATTCTGTCTTTGCACTGAACTAAATGTGTAGGAAGTGACTTGGAGTTGTGGCTGTATTTGAGTTTGAGGTCCTGCAACAACTCATTTTCATCAGCTTAGACTGTAGGGCTCTCTTCACTTTACATTTGAATTAGAGGAGGTAAGGTATATTAGAACTAGGTAGTAGAATGTCTCTTTTTTTTTTTCTCTGACATGAAAAAAACCTGAACCATTCTCTAAGTTAGGAGCAAAAGAGTGTGTCTCACTTTATTCTGCTGCTTTTTCATTTGTCTGCTAAAATTACTGTAGAGTATAATGATCATAATCAGTACTCTTAAGAGGTAGAGAATATTTACCTTACTGAATGTAGTAATAAATTTTGTAGCTCTGCTGCCCTTTAATTACATTAACCTTGTAACCCTGCCCTTTTGAGGAAGTATGTAAATATTTTTTCCTTTTAATTCTCTGTGTAGTTGTAGTAAGATCTAAAATATGGAAGTGAAGAAATACTTAAATTTTAAATTCTTTTCATAAAAGTGGACTTTAAGAATTCATGGGTAAACATTTACTGTTCTTCAGTTAATATCTCTAAATATTTTGGGTGTTGAGTCTGAATTCCAGAAAAACCCCATACATTATTTGTGTATGATGTTTGTATTTTTTAGGTGGCAAGAAGGTTGGCATCAACCCCAAGATTAACAACTTAATGCCTGGCTATGAAGTTGCCAAATACGATCTCATATGGATTTGTGATAGTGGAATCAGAGGTAGGTGTGTGGTGTAATGTGCTGACTGTTACATTGCTCTTGCTTCCTGTAAACAAGCAGTTGTTGGAGATTATTTTGACTGAGAATACACGTAGAAATGAAAGTTAGAAATCTGGAAAAATATTTCCATGGTATAAAAATTACCTTTAATCTCTAATGTCACCTTAATCTCTAAAATAACCTTTAATCTCTAATTAAAGGTGAAAATTCCATTTAAAAAATACTGTTCAAACCGTTACCATTGTATTTGTTGTTGATCATAATAATGATGTTAATCACTATTACTACTCTTCTGAAACTTTGTTGCTCCAAAATACTGTGCATCAAAATATATGTGCTCTTGATACTGGTAATAGAGGAATTAGTGTCTCTATACAGTAGCCTGCTAATGACAGAATTGCTCAATGAACTCCCTTTTTCATTTGTTACATAGTAACACCAGACACCCTGACAGATATGGCCAATCAAATGACTGAAAAAGTAGGCTTGGTCCATGGGCTTCCCTATGTTGCAGACAGACAGGGTTTTGCTGCTACCCTTGAACAGGTAAGTGCGATGTTGTCTCTTTTTTTTTTTTTTTTCTTCGAGACCTTGCTGACTAAAAGTTGTGTAGTGCCTCTTGCACTTTTTGAGGGAAGACGTGTTAATTTTCAGCTGCAGTCACACTTCAGACTACCTAGGATAACTTAAATGCTTCAAAATTCTACTGTGGTGCTCTGAACATTGATTCAATATTTAAGTTTACAGTGCAAACAATAAAGATTAGAGGATTAAAATGATTAATTTTTTAAAAAAATTAATTAAAAACTGAAGAACTCTTTCTAGTGGCTAAAAAGAAAGGGCCATTAATTCTATTTTGATGTCTGAAAAGGAACACAGAAATGGCCACAACAAGTCAGAGCAAAGTCAAGCTCACACAGTACCTTATTTCCAGCAGGGGTTCTAAGCAGAGCCTTTGAGGAGAGTAGAACACAAGCAAGGCTTACATCCTGTTTTCCTGTAATACTGTCTAAACTTTCTGCAATTTTCAGCTGAGAGACTTCCTGAGCAGGAAGCAGACTTGTATATTTACTAATCCTCAGTATATTAGTATTTTAGTAAGAACAGATTTCTTACTTTTCCATTCTTTCTTTGAGTCCGTATGGATTTTGAACGTCTATAACTGTCTTTACCAGGAAGTTCCATAGATCTACTATCTGTTACAGGAGCCACCACCTTGTTCACTCTGACCCTTGTTCTTCTATAGTGCTATTTCATGTCTCCTAATACTACTTTTGGAAGAGAAAGTGAGCAGTTGATTCCTATCCACCATCTTCATATCACTCATTCTGTCCTATTCTCCCCTCTCTTCTTTTTCAGTAAGTTCTCTTTTGTAGAATGAAGAGGTTGAGTTTTCTTGTTTGTTCCTTGTGTCTCAAGGCATGTAATTTAATAAACTATCTTTTATTCTAAGCTGACATGTATGAGGCATTTTGGCCCCAAGGCTAACTAATGTGTGTCAAAGGCAGAAATGTGAGAGATGAAAGTGCAGTGAAATTCAGTACTCCTTCATTGCATGGAGAGAGGGCAGCTCGTGTGATTTTGGTGACAGAAAGTCTGAATTTCCTGTTACAAGAGAAGAGCAAGGAGCTATAGCACAAAACTGTTAGTACTGCTACATGCTACAGTAGCAAGAATTACAACTTCTGCCTCTCTGTTCCTGGAAGGTGTTTTTGCTTCCAGATCCAGTATACTCCAAGATGAGCATGCCTTTTCTTGAATGAGTTACTGCATTAGTAAGACCAGTGCGAAGGCCATCTATAGGAAGAATAGTAGTGAGAGGTGCTA